TGTATTAACCTTCACAGTTGGAATTTCTTTGGTAGGGACAGTTTCAACAGGAACAAAGCATGTATAACAATAAAACATCCTTGAACTTCTGCATCGGGGGCATTTTGATCTCCCACTTTTTTTTGCCTTTTCCAGCACTTCCTGGGATGCTAACTGTAACTGTTGAAGAGGGTTATCTTGAAATGATGATGGAGTCTGCAGTTCTTGGCTTTCCAAACACTCAGTACTTCTTTTTGGTCCTTGTGTAGATGAACTCAAAGACATGGTTAGCTGAAACACACAATACGTTGTTAAATAAAAATCCAGTTACTATGAACTAATTTATTGAAAATTATTCTGTATTATGCTATTTAACAAAAAAATACTCATCAGAGAAGGTATTTCCTACAGCAGAAGGAGTAATAAAATCATCTGATTCAGTTATTATAGCACCAAGAACTCCAAAGAGATTTCAGGAGGGCATGAGACAAACAGCTGGAAAGAACCTGAGATCTGCCTCCTTAATGCACATATAGGCATGTTCATAATTTTACTAAGTTATCCCACTCAATTCCTGCAGAAATATATTTTTTTCTATTGTTAGGATCAGGGACTAAAAGTATATGAAAACACTGCTAAACAGTGTTTACTTGGATGAGCAATCCCATTAGTCTTCAGCATGACTACCAACAACAAATTACATGCCTACAGGATAGAAATCCATAAGAGAAAAGTTAATTGTACAAATTTAGATCTCTATCCTGAAACTTATTGTGTGTGGGCCAACCAAACACCCTGAATGAAATCTCTCCCAGGCAGAACTTTGTGAGGTAGAAGAAATCTTCCAAGAGCTTGAAGCTTGAGGCTGAAAAATTAGAAGAGCTACAACAGGGCTTTGGTGCTCCATGTACCAGACAGGAAGTGCTGACCCAGTCTAGATTTGTTCTGCAAGTTTGTATTTATTTAGTACCATTGGTGGGTTTTTTCCAGGCTTTCTTCCACACAGGTGTTGTCTCACCCTCTGCAGCTGGTGCAGAAGTTTCCCCGTGTACTCTGAGCGGTGCATCAGAACCAGGCCCATGTGCCCACAGCCAGTGCAGACAGAATTAGTGCTCTGGGAGCTCAGGCTCAGTCACTCCAGGCTTTAGTAAAGCCCTTCTGACAGATCACTCAGGCTCCTCTCTGATCTTCAAAGCAGCCCCCAGTCAGCAGCCTGCACAGCCTGCAGTAGTTACAAACTGCCTTTTGCACTTTGTGCTGCATCACTGGAAATGAAAAAAAGCCATTCTCAGTATTTACTTTCAGCTAATTTAGGTTTACTTTTTCATGTCAGGGATCACACTTACAAAATGATGTCACAAAACAGTCATGTCTAACAAAAACAAACAAACAATAATTCCGGAGATGTGATCCAAAATTAAGTGTTTAAATAAAATCAAGTGTAATTTAATTGAAAAATAACAAAACCAAAAAGCTCGGCTAACCTTCCAATAAAAAATTAAAATTAATGCCAGAAAAAATTGTTATTGTCTGGTAAAATTAGATACTCATGTATGCTCTGATACCTTCCCCTCTCCTTCCGACAAAGTCTAACTTCTGGAAGGTCAGGGACGTCTATTTAAATAAACACAAAATCTATATGCACGCAAAATTTATACTGCAATTTGCTTTCAAGTATCTCTGAGATAAAGCAAATATACATTACATCTCAGACCAAGCCACATTGTTGTCAAGTTTCCTCAAGCAGCAGAGAGGGCGAGAGGCCCTAGAATTGGACATGCATTCCCAGCCTGCAAACCGATTCTTTGCAGTGCATAATGTCTTACGCTCTGTGGTGCTCAACGGTGACCCCCCGAAGCACTTTTGTTACCGATACTGACAGGGGATCTGCTGCGGCCTCACACAGGAGCGGTGCCCACGTTCAGCTGTGTTCACACGGTATTCTTTGCAGAAAATGACAGCAACAGAGTTCACGCAACTTGTAAGACCCAAATCTCACTTCAGACATACTTTTAAGACTGTAAATAACTCCATCTACACCTGATTTCCAAACCCCGGATAAATGGGTGCTGCTGGAGGGTTCTCTCCACATTCCAACTGCAACTCCGGGGCAACTCCGGACCTCGGCCCGGACACCTCGGGGGTTGTGTGAAGCTCTGGGGGGTGTGTGGGGTGCCCTGAGCTCCCCACCGCCGTGCCCTGCTGCCGCTGCCCCCTGAGGTGACCGCAGCGGCCACAGCACCGCGGGCTGAGGGCAGCGGAGGGCACAGACCTCGGGGCGGGGATCTCTAACGGGAATAACAAAGCGCTCCCGCCATTCGGGCAGGTCTGACCGGCCCCCGTCCCGCAGGCCCCGTGGCCGCAGAGCCGCTTCCCCCCGCGGGCCGCCCGCGCACAGCGCGGCCCCTCAGCGCTGCCTCCTCCCTCTCCCCCCTCCGCCCCGCTCCTCTCCTCATCCTCTGCCCGGCTGCAGCCCTTCCTCACCCGCCTCCCGGCTCTGCTCCGCCGCGGCCCTCGCAGGCCCCGGAACGAAAGTGCCGAGCTCTGCCTCGGCGGGAGGCGGGGAGCGGAAGCAGCTCGGGGTGTCTGCCGTGTCTGTCCCGGGGGTTTGTGTTTGTTCGGAGCCTCCCGCCCGGAATGGGATTTTTTTCGACGAGTTCTGTCGCAAAAACCTGACCAGAAACCACAGACGCAATTCCCGGGGAGCGGGGACAAGCCCGCCCTTCCCAGCGGGGTCCGTGCCAGGTGTTTCCCGCCCTGTGATATGTGCCCATCGCTGCCCCCGCCGTGAGGCGGCACCGCCCGGGACAGCCTGGAAACCGCTGGGGCGGGAGGCTGAGGCTTTGTGCCGCTCCCTTGGCAACTCCCGGAAAGCTGGATCAGTTGGATTTTTCTTTTACCTTTATTTTTCCCCCACCTAGTAGTATACTTACAGCATACCGAGTGCCTGCTGCTGGTTCTGCATCTCTCTCTCTCCAAAGAGGACATGGGATCTGCTCTGTGAAATTTCTTGGCCTGGTTGAGGATGCTGCCCCACAGTAGCATTTACCCAATATTCAGTCTTTAGTAACTGCATTTTTAGGTTGAAGTGACTAAACTAAACCAGTAATTTTGGTATAGAGAATATTTCTCTCGGTGAAATGAAGTCTGCGATGTATTAGTTGCAGTAGCTTTAGGGGGAAAAGTTGACATTATAGGCAGATTTTATGCCAAACTTTGATCTCAGTTACACCCCAAAAACCTCACTGTCTTCAGTGGTATTACATCCAGTGGCAGAAAATGCCTACCAGCATTCTGTTATTACTTGTTTTGTTTTGACTTGATCAGTTCTTCATGCTGGCAGCATGTCACACATTGCAGTAGTAGGGAAAAAGAACTACGTGTCCCCATTCATGTTTTTTACTGCCTTACACTGTGACAATACCTGGTGATGTTCAGTAGTTAATGATGCCAAAATAAAAATGTTTATTAGACAAAAGAAGACTTTTATAATGGTTTCTAAAACTCTTTCTTGACAAACTTAATTTTAGTAGGTTTTGCTAAGTTTACCACCTCTTTGAATTATTTCTTTGGGTGCTTAGTGCAGAACTTGTTTGGGAATAAACTGAGTTTCCTCATTATTTAAAATCAGGTTCTGAAATCTGAATTACTCCTTTGTATACTTTTATTCTATGCAGTTATTTACCCAAAAACTGCGATACTGAAATAATATTTTAGGAATGGATGCTGTATCGCTTTTGTTTGGGGCTCTTAATTTCAGAATACAATAAAAAATATTCTCTTTTCCAAACCAGCATTTCTCACACTTGATTTCTACTCAGATGCAACTCTAAAGTTTGATTTTTTAACTATACTTAACTCAGAAGATACCAGTTGATTGATTTCAGTGAACACTTTGGCTAATCTGAAACTTGCTTCCAACTTCTGAACTAAAAACTAAATCTGTAAAAACAGTGCCAGATTTGTTGCTTTTTCTTCAGTATGTATTTTAGAAGTGCATAAATAATAATAGTATAGAAGTTTTGGAGGTACTGAGAAGGAAATGGAGGTTCTACCTTTCTGATTAAGTGCCCTTACATATTTTTCACGTTTTGCTTTGAACCAGAACTACTTCTCTCACTGGAACAAAGAAACAAAAAATGTGTGAAAATATTTTGGTGGGTGGAACACTTCAGTATAAAGAGCAACTTGACATAAAAATGGAAACATTTAATTAGGAATAATGTAAGACCAAAATATTAATTTGTTTTAATTTCTGATTGCTATTATTACCTTTTTCCTTTTTACCCTGAAGCCACAGAATCACAGAATGTACATATGTGTATTAATAGCTTCCTTACATTCAATAGCATTTCACTGATTTTTTTTTTAAAGAAATAATTTGTCTTGCTGCCCTGCTATTAAGATAGAACATGTTGATGTCTTTCAGCTCTACCAGAGGGTTTAAAAACACATGAATTACTCTGTATTAACACTTACTAAGTTATTTCAGGAAAGTGATCAATTTGATGGTTAACTTCAAACAACTACCTTTGGTGTCAACAATTTGCTGAAATATTTGGGCTGCTTGTTTGAATTCTGTGCTAGATCAAGGAACAGACTTTCCTCCTGTGCTTCCAAAGCTGTGCTCAACAGATGGAAGGCATTACTGGCCTTTCTGAGAACTTAAATGGCACATGATTTTATTTGTCTCTTTAGAAACATAATGACCCTTTTTTCTTGAGTTATCTCCTTGTCTAACTAAAACGTTATAGTCTTTTTAATTACTCTGTGTCTGCTCTAATGGGCCTCCCTGGCCTGTTTCAGTTGTTCTGTCTCCTGGAGATGATGCAATCACCTCTGAGTGCAGCACATGGGGCAGGAGGAAATCACAGTCTCCTTACAATGGTGCCAAAATTAGAGATTCTTAGATGTTATATGCATTTACACTCCTATTACAATTCTTTGTGCAAAATAGAGTTCACAGATTACTTAATCTTTGCATTTGTGTAATTTTCAGAAATAACTTTTTACAATGGGCTGAGTGCAGAAGGAATGACTGAGTTGTCTCTCCCTTGATGAGCCTTACTCTTTGGTGGGTAAGTTACAAAAAGATTATTCCCTCAGTGTCATATGTAAATGTGTGTATGAACATGTTCCACTGAACATCAGTCTGCTCTCAGATTTGACCCATGTCACTGAACTAGAGAATTGTGCTGAAAAAGGATTTTCATTACAGTGGCCCAGCTTATCTAGAGTAACATCCTTGAAAAGAGTACCTGAAAGACATTGGCCCAGATAAGTGTTACAGCTTTCCCTCAGGCTGTAAGAGTTAAGTTTATAATTTAAATAAGTTTAATAAGCCAAAGTCCCAGTTCTGCCTGGGTTTTAGGAGCATTTTTCTTCAGTCCTAAATGAAGTGCAGGCAAAAGTCCGTGCAAACACGTTGTTCTCCACAGCTCTTGGTGTTATGAAGGAAAGATGAGTCATATAGAAAGATCAAAATGGTGACTTTTAAGCCTTCCAATCATCCCAGTGATGCAACAGGACTGTAGGGTGGGATATGTTTTGTGTGCAGACACATTTAGATGTAGATCCAGATATGTGTAAAGTCTTTGCCTGATTAGAGCTTTTAATCAACAAAATTATCAAACCAGCCTCTATTTCTACCTAAACCTTGCTAATTTTTTTAAGACATTGTTACAGAGCAAATTGCTGCAGAGGAAATTCTGACTCAGACGAGTGAGATGGGGAAAGCACAGGAGTGTTACATATTTTTAATTCTTTTTATGGATGAGACAAGAAAGATTAAATTTTCACTTTTTTTTTTGTTGGATCCAGAAATGGGATTACACCTATCTCTGTATGTTCGTTGGGGGAGAAAAAAAAACAACTTGAAAAAGTCCTTTTTATTTCTTTATATCTCCAAAGGTATCTGTAGTCACCTGAAGTATCTGTTTTAGACCATTTTCCCTATCTGAAGTACATTCACAGTTCATAGTATGAATTAGCTGGAAATATTGTTTATATCATTGTATGAAATAACATTAATTATGAATTGAATATTTAAACATTTTTCAAGTTGCCAAATATATTGCTGAGAAGTCAAATGTAAGAAATATATAGGTGATTTTTTTTTACCTTACATGTAAAAAGGTACATAGGATTCTGTCTAATGAATATGGTTTGACTTGGAAGTCAAAGAAATATCTCCAACACCATATTAAATCAGTCAATTTTTCTAAGGCTACATGAATTGAGATATATTGGGTAAGGGAAATTCTAAATACTGTGTAAATATGATGACTGACTTAGCCACAAAAATTGTAAATAGCAGTTTAGAGTGTTATTGCAACCCTGACCTCTCTGGTTTTATCTTTTACTCACTTCAGTGGGAATTAGGTATGGTTTTAAATACTTTAGTTACTTCCCTTGCAGACAAGTGAGAAGTCATAGTCTGCAATCCTGTCTTTTGACCCATTTTGCATATTAAGTTGTTATTATTAATAAAAATAATTTTTTGCACATTAACCTATCATTAATTAGTATTGCACTGGTTGAATTTCACAATCTATTTTAAGATAGTTACTAACTGATCAGACTGAAGAATATTGTAAATATTCTGAGTGAATTTTGACTGCTTCACATTTATAAATGAAGGAAACCTAATTCCTGTCATTTATCCAAGTCCAAATACTGTCAAGCTGATAAAAACAAGTTGTGCAGAGTGAAGGAGAGATTTAAAATTCAGATTCTTGAGCAGCCTTGATAAACTCTGTGTCTAAAGAGTGACCTGTCAATAGCACTTACCACAAAGCATGTGCAAAAATGCAAGATTTTTGAGAAAAAGTGTTAAAAAAACACACAGAGTTGAAGTTGAAAATGTACAAAAGTAATCACTAGTCCTACAAAATATAAAATGTCTTTTTATTCTTTTTAAGCAAAGCCTAATGCCTTGGCACCCGAAGAATGGCTGGAGATCTTATCACTTGCACTGGATAAAAATTTTATATGAGTTTATAATCTACAGCTCTTCCTGTTAGAGATATTTATAATACACTGCCAGAAGCTGATGCTGCTTTCTGAAATCCACACACCTTTGCAGGACTGATTAAAAATTTTTGTTTATTTGTGTTAAAATAGGTGCAAATATACTCAGATAAGCAAGATGCAAGAAATATTAAAATCCTATTGGCACTTCTTGACACAGTTCTGGCACAGCTTAGACTCAGTTCTTGCCTCCTAAAGTAGAAGGAAATGTTAGTCCAGTATCTTCCTCTTCTTTGTCATTGTGGTTATTTACAACATTTTCTTCTTACATATTTTTTAATTATGTAGTAAATTTAATGTCACAAGCGTGACTTGATGCCTTACTAATTTTGTGTACCTTCATTTTTGTGTTTTAAACTTTAGATGTTTTGACTTTCAGTCCTAGGTTTATGGGAAATTAAAACAAAACAAAACAAAACAAAAACCAGTAAAAGATTGAGAGCTTTGCAGGTACCTGGCATGTGGACATCAGTCCCTGTGTTTTGACAACCTAATGTTGAAATACCCAAAGCAGCTCTTTTGCTCTTCTCAGTAAAAGCCAAGCATTTCCCCTGCAGGTTTTTTCTCTTCAGTATTTTTGCAAACTGAAAGAAGTTCCTCTGTGCTTGTGGATTGTGTTTCAAATTAAAATCCTTATACCTTTTACCTCTGTCTAGTTTTGATTTGCTTTATGGGTTTAGGATTTTTTAAATCCCTTCACTCGGCGTCTCAAATATTTTTTCGTTGTTTTGACAGAAAATTGTTCTCAAAGTTTGGAGACGTATCTTTCTCTCAAAATAATCTTTTGCAGTGTTTCAGGGTTCTTCTTGATTGTGGTTTCTCCCAAACTTTAATATATAAATTAAATTCAAGTATTCTTAGATCTGTTATTATCAAATAAGCTGCATATTCCCCAAGTACAAAACTGCAAGTGTTTTACTAATGAAGCTCAACTGCATCAACTGTAGACCCAAGATTAACTTTTCCTGTAACTTTAAAGAGCTGTAGTGGAACATATGAAGAACTAGTTTATTTAGCAGCTTTATATCATGAAGCTTAAAACAAACTTTTAGATGAAACCGACTGTTTGTTTTACTTTGCTTATTTTGTGTAATGGTGCTAAAATTTATAAAAGGTATGAGTTTGGAATATTTAGGTTAAGAGAATAAATCAAAAGTGTATGGGTTCTGTTACCTCAGGTGATCACTATGTTCTTTATTAAGAAGAGAAGGAAAATATTCCTGTGGCAGGACACTGTGGTGATGTCCACTGGCTTTGATTCAGCACATCACTTAGATTCTGTCTTAATTGTTGGCTGATAAACTTAACATATGCTTCAAATAATGAGTGTTTTCAAGTGCTATTCTGAATCAGGAACTACTGCAATATACTCAAAAATTTAAACATTTAGAGGAACAACATATTGAAGTAAGAGAGGAAACACAAATATGTGTTTCAGTGCTATTGCTTTGTGTTGTCAAAGCCTCACCTCACAGGGTACATAAGCATGAGCTTTAGTAATGCTGTGCATCACACAGCACACAGCTACAGCTGAATTTATGCTCACACCTTTATCCTGATTTTTTCCCCCTTTGAAGCCTGACCAAGACCCCTTGTTTGACAGAATTGCAGGATTTTGTGGCACATTTTCTACTTGTTCCTGGGGATGCTAGAGATGCTTTTTCTCAGGTAAGATCACAAGTAGCATTTTCAGTGGTATATGGGTAGATGCTGCATTTCAGCTCATAAAAGTGGTAACATGACACATGAGCCAATTGACATGCATCCAGACTGGCAGCTGTTGGCTGCAGAAGAGAGCTGGAAGCACGTGCATGTAGGAACCAGAGGGAGCAATCAGAACTGGTGAGGAAAAGGTAGAAATTATCATGGGCAGTCAGTAAAGTGATTTTTTTGGGGCTGATAGTGTGAATAGTAAAATTAAATTATAATATTAAATTAGGTTCTTATAAGAAATTACTTGATTTTCATTAAATATCATAATTAGTTAAATATTAACAAATATTACTTACTCCACATCCTAATTTTAACCCTAAGGACTTGTTGAAAATATGTAATTTGTTGAAATCAGCATCTTCCAGTTCAGGCATAACTGGGAACTTTGACTTTTACATTGATAAAGTAGGTTTTTGAGAAGTGAATTCCCCTCTTGTTTGTACAGTTGCCCAATGTCTCACACAAATAACAAAAGGTTATACTTTTTTTCCTTTGGCAAAAGGTCTTTACAACTGCTACAGTTCACTTGAAGATTTTTACATTAAGTAAAAAAATTGTAATATCAAATCTCTTTTGTAGACTTTTTAGGTGCAGAGTTATTTTGTCAGGTATATCCTGGTTGCTCATTGCAAGTCATTTATGTTGCTTTCTGTGAAGTATTTCCTGAATCTATTAAATGTTTTGATGATGATTTTAAGGAGGCATTGGCAGACTTAGTTTTTCAGTGGCTATCAGGTACTAATAGTTTTTTTTTCCTTCTACCAGCTCTGCATTTCAGTGAGAATCTACTGCTTTTCCCCTGGTAATTGTGTACATATATATACATACAGAGAAAATTCAGAACTAGCAATACTATTGTCAAAACTGGCTTTCTCAGCTCAGTAATAATCATGATTATGATTTCTTAATACTGGTTGTTGGTATATAAATATGGATGGATAGTTTAAACCATAACCTGGAGAGGAATCTGAGCTGACTATCCATGGCTTTATTTCTCTTTAAGAAAAATAAAACTGGATCAAACATCTCAAAATGTTTTTGGCAAAAGCAGCTATTTGTAGGTGGCCCTGAAGGTGTCTCTCTATAAAAAATGGCCACTTTTTATAAATATTCTTATAGGATTCAGACTCTACCTGCCCTAGAAATTTCTATTGGAAGTAGTATTATATTACCATTAAAGGAAGTAGTATTATATTACCATTAAATATCTGCATGTTTTGACAGTAAAAGTTTATGATTTTTAGATTGCATATGTCATTTGATATCCATTCCAAAACTTAGATTTAGAGCAGATTTCTATCTTTACTGCTCATTTATTTAGATTTCATGACAATGTGGATTTCATTTTCTTGTATGTTGAAGCTGATTGACAAATGCAATAGAAATATGTTTTTGAAGTAGATATAAAATACAGAAATATTTTTCTCAAAACCTTCCTCTCTGTCAGTCACTTTTTGTTGGGCAGAATTTTCTTTTTAGTTACAGACAGAGAAAATTGTATGTAGAAAAAGATCACCCTGAAAATTTAATTTTGAGAAGGTTTACATACATCAAAGTTATATATGCTCCAAAGTCCTAATGGGTCTTTAACTTGGAAGAGCTGGGTAAGCCCACAGTATTCTCTGTAATGTGTAACCACTATAAATAGATAATGGACAGATTTAACTGAAATTTAGTCAGACCAGAAAAAATCCCAAGACTCTGGGAGACCACTGCTATGGCAGAAATTCTGTATCTGCATGAGACTTATGGTGTGGGAGCTGTGTAAAATTCTAGTGGAATGAATACTGAAAACCACGGAATAAAGTCAATTAAGTATTGCTGTGAGAATAATTCACAACCTCAACAAAACCTATGCAAATGTATTGAATTACCAGAATTGGAACAACCACAAAGTAAGGATATTCAGCCATGTGCAAAACCAAGCAGAAGGGAGATAGCAAAAACTGTTCTGGTTAACTTTAACTCTATGAATATAATTATTTCAGTTAACAGGCTTGGAACCCACGCCTGAAAGTTGACCGTGGGCGTAAAAATTTGCCCATTTTAGGCAGGAAATAAAGCAATTTTAATTTCATTTGGGAATATTCATAGGGTGATTTTCAAAATTAACATCAACATTTTTCTAAATTAAGTTTTTTTCTTTTCAGATCTAAAACCAAGGAAATGGGTGTGGAAGAAATGGAATCTCAAAAGCTTTAAGGCTGCCACAGTAAATCATACAGTAAAGATGCTACTGCTGACACACAAACTGCTGCATCTGCCAGTTCTGCAGCAGCCAGTAAGTCTTGTAAATATTTTTAAACACATAATGCACGTGACTGTACATTTTGGAATAGAACTTAGAGTACATTGCAAAATCTTAATTGTCAACAGGAATTATTAGGAATATTTTCAGTTTGTTTTGCACAAAATCTAAATGTTAAAGCAATTAAGAATGAATTGTGAATTTTGGTCAACTCTAAACATATGTCCTGCCAATATGCTGATACTTCCATTTGATTAAGCTGTAAACAATATTACAAAGTATTTAAAGGATCTGCTCATGTTCCATCTAGTAAAATCTGATTGGTTTGGTTTATCAGTTTTCTAATACTAATAACAGCTAATCTTTTTTCTACTTCTTTCTCTGGTATCTGGCTCCCATTTTCAGTATGTCTTGCATTCCAACCTCTATCATTTATGCCTTTGTCTTCACTGTCCTGATGGATCAGACCTTGCCTTTTATTGTTTCATACTAACCTACTGTACTTCCTCATGGCCACTATTTTTACTTCTTTTTTCAATCTTCTTCTGCTTGTGTTGCTTCTAACTTGCTCCCTTTCCGAATGTTACCCAGCATTTTGTTTCTTCAGGGGAGCCAGTTTCTTCTCTTTTCCCCCTCCCTGAAATTACTGTTTTCCTTCAATCATCTACAGCCATAATTTTATGCTACCAGTCTTCTCTTACTCCTTTTTGTCCTCCTTCACCAACCATAACCATAATTTTTCCCATCCTTACCTTCTCCCCCCCAGTTTTTTTTCATGTGCTCATATGCTTTTCTGCTTTTAGATCATTGTCAAGGTAGGAAAACCTTATTTTTGTTGCAAAACAATTGAGAAGAAAACATCTGAGTGAAAACTCATAAATGTGCATTCCCACTGCCCAGCCCCTGCCATTTTCAATGGTATCACTCTGATTTTCTCCAGAGTTATGTTCAATGCTTAGGAAAAGATAGAGGGTTGTCTCTTGTGCCTGTTAATGCTGAGGAGAGAAGTTTTGGAACATGCTGTACTCAGGAAACCCTGAATGCATGAAGTACTGCAGACATGTCAGAGGAAGGGAAGTGTTCTGTCCCGTGCCATGATTCCCATAAAGCTTTCTCTTCTAAAGTGGGGGGCTTTCTAAGCCCGTGTGGGGCTTTCTAAGCAAAGTTCCCTTTGAGACCCAGCTGAAGGATTTAGTCTCTGCAAATGGATACAGCTTTGTAGAATCTTGGTATGGATTGCCTATGCTCAGCTGGGGCTTAATAAATTGTCATTATGTGTTGCCTGTTAGCTTTCCAGAATAATTTTTCTTTTTTACTTTAGTGTTTCTTTACAAGTACAATTAACGTGGCTTCTTTAAAATTGAAAGTCAGTGTTGCTCTCCAGTTATGGTCTTGAAAGGAAATTCTTGTTTACAGATTCCATTTTTTGTGTGTTGCTCACTTTGCAGTACAGTTTTTAGAAACAGAAATGTATACATGTTTTTGAACAGGGGAACATTTGGGTATTTTTTTAAATCTCAAAGCCTAAACCCAGTGGAAACATTTGTGTAATTTTTATACATTCAAATGGTTTTGTTCTGATATAATCATATTTACTTTTAGATATTGGTCATTGTATTACTTTACTAGTATATGAGAACAAGAATATGAAACCGAGTAGAAAGTGATTATTCTTGAAGCAGGTTCAATAAATCACCTCAGCTGTTGATTATAATAACACTTCAAACCATAGGGAGTCTTTTTAATGACAGTAATTTTGAAGTCACCAAAGCTGTTGTTTCTTCATGTTTCTTGCCAAGATATAATGACTTGTTTTTTCCCGTGACAATAAAATAAAAGGGAGAAGCCTCACTATTTTAGCCCTCCCTGTTAATACCCTGTTCAGTGATCTACCTTATTGCTTTAAGCTTTCATGGTGTTCACAGTTTTGTTCAATAATCACTTATTCTCTTGTATGCCCACTGAGAAGGCAGTTACGTGTCCAGATCCACTTTGGTGTCTAGTTTTTTTGTGAAATCCCTAGGAATGGGTGCATGAGCAGGTTGGCTCTCATATTAATGTGTCTTACATTGAATTGAGTGTCCGTGGTTTGCAAATGTTCCCTTTCTTCTGCAGCTCTCATCCAGTTTTCCTGTGCTGTGCTGTAATATCACAGCAGACAGAAACAAGCTGCCAACCCTGTTTGCCACCTTGAACAGAGACAACAACCCAACTGGAACAGTGTGGTGTCCTTTGTAGCAACAGAAGTCACTGTGAGTGTGGGTAGAAACAGCTCCAGCTCCTCTGCTGCCCTGGTGTGATTAGTCAGGTAATTTAAAGCCACTGTGGGTGTGTGTTTGATGTTTTAGCAGTGTGTATCAGGCTCAAACTTGTTTTTCTTACTTATCAAATAGGACACTGAAAATGGCTTGCTTGAAGTTATATGAGAAATCTGTAGCAGAGCCAGGTTTCAAAGGCCAGTAGATGAGCCCTGAAAACTCAGCAGTGAGTAGCTGATGACTAGATTCTTGACCATCCAAACTGGTGCTGTCCAAGGTAATAGTGAGTTGTGTTTATGCTTAGACAGCCAGTTGTAATTGTAAAGAGAGTTGGTCCTGAATTCTAATTAAAATTATACGATGTAACATTATAAAAAACATTTCTAGTGGTATTAAAGATATTACTGGATTAGTTGGAAGAATAGGGAAGTCATTCTTCTGCTCTACTCAGGGCTGGTGACACCACACCTGGAGTGTTCAGTTTTGGGCTCCTTAGTTACAGAGAGACATGGACAAACTGGAGAGAGTCCAGTGAAGGGCCACAAGGGTGATTAAGGGACTGATGCATCTCCCCCGTGAGTAAGGTCTGGGAGTACTGGGACTGTTTAGCCTGGAGTAGGGAAGGCTCAGGGGAAAACTTATCAATGTAATAAATACCTGAAGGGAGGGTGCAAAAGAGAACTGAGCCAGGCTCTTTCCAGTGTTTCCCAGAGATAGGTCAAGAGACAATGGGCACCAGCTAAAAGAACATCTTTTTCTTGTGAGGGTGACTGAGCACTGGCACAGGTTGTGCAAAGAGGTTGTAGGGTCTCTCTCTTTGGAGATATTAAAAAAAATGTCTGGATGTGGTCTTGGCTCCAGATGGCTCTGCTTGAGCAGAGGGGTTGAACCAGGTGACCTCCAGGGGTCCCTTCCAACCTCAACCAGTCTGTGATTCTGTGGATAAAGTGAGACAAATTCTTTCAAATAAAGGTGGGAGAATGAAAGAACTGTGGTGGGGGATATAGGCTGGAAGTAATGCCTTTGCTTCTGTATAAAAACAACAATATGGAAATAAGACATTCCATAAGGACTTGCAGGAGTTGCTCAGTGAACATCACACCATGCCTATGGCACATGGTCACAAAACTGAGATGCAAACCACTGAAGACTGGTCTGTAGAATGAGCTGTTTTCAGTGTTTACTTTGCAGAGGTTGAAAAAGATGTTTTTGTGTTTTAGTCTTAGACTATTCTGAACACCCAAGTAACACAAGTATTTCCTAATTTTGCACACTTTGTTAGCTCCAGAAAGCTTAGTCTGCAGAGGACCGAGCCCTTAAAACTGACCAGCCTAACTCCTCAAAGCTGAGGAAGCTGTTGCTCCATGTAAAGAGAACTTGTCATGAGTTTCACAAAGCTATCTGGGTACCAGGTAATGCAGACACCTGCTCTCCTCCTGGAGCTGAGTACATTAGGTATGTACTTTCTATTGAAATACATTGAATTTCAGCAGCCAACTTAACCTGACCCTTCGAGTTGTCACTAGGTACCAACAGCCAACCCCTGGGTATCTGGTGTCCCCCAAGATCTGACCTACACTGAATAAATCTCAGTGTTCAGGTCTTTCCCCATCTTCACTAAAACACTGTTTGAGGAATGATTGTAAAAGTGAGGATTGTTATTTCATATTGGACTTCAGCTTGAATACACTGTAACCTTTATGTGACAAGTTTATGCATCTTCATTCTGACTCTGCTTTTCTGCTTAGCACTGGAGGTAAATAGTTATTCTCATGAGGAAGTCATTTTATCTAAGTGAGTATTTTTTTTCCCCTCTGTGTGAAGAGACATCCTTTTGAAGTGCCAGGCCTCTAAATAAAAGAGTTTCCTTAATGAAACAACGAATCTTGGTAAGCTAGGATCTGCCTTCCAAACAGAATTGAAGGAAATCTCCCATTTTAGGTCTGGAATGTAAGCAGTTATGGAATTTCAGCGTCTGGAATGCTTGAGATTTACAAGCCAGCTTTCCTCAGCCAGGTATTTATTGTGAAGTTATTTACAGAGCTCAAGACTTAACACTTGATAGCTTTAATACTATGTTAACCCCCCCCATCTCCCAAATATTTATAATTAAATTCTGAAGGTTTATTTTATGTAAGACTATGAATTTCAATGTATGGTGTTAAAAAGCTTTTTCAGTAATTTTGCTGTGGGGTTATTATTAAAGTTAATATGAATGTCATGTTAAAAACCCTGTGGAACTCCTTGAATATTTTCCCATCTGAGTTTCTGCTTTAAATACAGTCCTGATTCTCAGCATTATTTTACTAACAACAGAAAGAATTTAGCTTTTCTTCTGCTAACAAATTCACCTTCTTCACTGTTTCAAGTAAACATGTGATTTAAATAACTATTACCTTTTAAAAATCATCCAGTGATGTAAACAGTTGAATTTCCTTTTTTTTTTGGCTATTAAATGTTAGTTTAAAAAAAGTACATTATTATTTCTAAGTATGGATCTCAATTCTGATGATGGCTGTTTTCCTAATTTGGGGAAAATCTAAACTGTCATTTTTATTTTCTACATATTATATGTTATGAAATTACTATGGTTTTTGAAAAGTTGGTAGTGAAGAGATAGATATTCTAGGCTTATTTATTTAGACTCAGAAATATTTAGACTACTCAGATACTGGTCGTTGAGTGCAATGAAATACTGTGGTTCTCATTACTTTATTGATTTAATATTAACTTACATTTTGCTTCAGCTTATTCAAAGAGAATATACATGTTTTCTTCAAAAAGTAATTTAAAACACAGACAAGTGTATTTTAATAATTAATGGATCATGTAGTAATCTGATTATTACAGATGCTGTGCAGAGCAGTGTTTTAAAGTACTTGCAACAGAACTAAAAGTGAGACCGTGTTGTACCATATCAGGTGTTTTAAAAAGTCATGGAAATTGTCCAATTGTCATTTTTTATTGTGTATTTACACCATTTTGCATACCTTTAATGACACACAAGTGATGAGACAAATTGTAATTATCCCCATAACGTGGAAAATGTGTTTTGTGTAGTCGTTTCAAGAAAAATAACTTTCCTATGGAATCTGGACTCATTTAGGTTGGCAGAGTGCTGCAGGTCTCTTGTCCTGCTCAAAGTGGAGCCCACACTGATTGTGTAGGGCTTTGTCCAGTCAGACCTGGAAAACCTCCAAGGATGGATATCCTGCAGCCTTCTGGGAGATTCCTCAGATGAGATTTGCCCATTGCTGTGTCCCAGAGTGTTTATCAGCACTAATGCAAAAGATAAGTAATTAAGTAGAACCTTGCTAATTAAATTTAAAGAGCCTGTGTAATGGAGCAGTTCCCATGAAATGTGAGTGGCTGTTGTAGGTGCCACTTAAACCCTCAGAGCTTGTATTTCACTCCCAAACCCCAGTCTGTGCACACTGTGTAGTGTTGGTGGTAAACAAAGAAAAAAGCTGCATGAAAGCCAATGCCTCTGAAGGAAAAGCAAAGAAATTACAACTGAGGTTGACTTTCATAACCATTTTGTTTGGGTTTTCTTGAACCTTTAGTTATATAAAGGTTAGTAATGGGCCATATCTAGAAAGGAATATCTGTTTCTTTTCATACAAATGTGCTTTCCTCCCACATGGTATATTGTATGTTGGTGTTAACATTAAATTGTGATGTAATTGATGTAATAAGCTTTTGTGAGGATTTCTGACATCTGTTTGAATATCTGTTAAATCCTAATAGCTTCTTTTTATTATCCTTGTCTTTTAATAGTTCGCTGCTGTAGATCATCACATCTTCTGATTATTATTTTCTAGTTTTAGCACTGAACTGATTTTTTCCGGAGTTAAAAATAAGTGTTTCAGAAGAGATTTTCTAAGATAAAGCTGCGTTGAAAATTGTTCAGTTTTAAGGCTGTATGACTGTGGTACTGAAGAATTGCACCATCAGGTGTCTTTCTGTGAACAGTTCCCTCACAGGACACATTTCAGTTATGACAGCTGTAAAACATAAAGCAGCCTTGGCTTACCTGGTAATGATGGTAACATAGGGATTCATTAGAGAAAGCAGTCAGCAGTAAAGGCTAATTACAGCTGGGGCTCAGGATTGTATGACTGTGTTTCTATAGCCTTCAATTACATAATCAAAAGATCTTTTAAAAGAGCTTGTCTACATCTGGTTTTAATTTTAAGGGTTTTTTACATATATATTTATATATTAACGTGTACTTACATTTTCATTCAAACTTCAGTAGAGCTTTTAAGCACAATCTTAATGAGATGTTATTTTCACTTTTATTTCAAAGTTTCAACTAACCTAGTTTAGGTATAGAAACTTCTGCTGGTGTGTTAATGTTGATCATGAGTGTGAACTTGGTTTCATGTTTATGTATTCACAGAGAGTAGTGCAGACAGTTATCAGCAAAAAAGCTTTTCATAGTACAGTCTGTTGTGATCATGGAACATGTGATAGATAAACCAGCAAGAGCACAGGGAAGGTTCACTGATACAGCTGTACTGACACATTTTCCTGCAAGGATCTCTTTATATCTTCTTTGTTTTTTGACTTGCTAATAACACAATCAATTTTCAAATTACACTATTTGTTAGACAAGTATTTTTTTAGAAAAAGAAATATTTGTTAAAGAGAATTTTTGCTGTTTTTCTGTGAGTGCTCTTAAAAAGAAAGTTTTTCCTGTAGGAAAAAGTGGTAGACTCTAAACACTTGTAATGCAGCATAGGGCATTTAAGACCATTATTAATTAACTTGACTGTATCCCAGTCATCTGGCAGCTGCTTCAGCTAATTTTTTTGGTGATCTTTATCTAAGTGCGGTTATCACACTACCAAGAAAACATGTGGGGAAAACTGAGCAGAATGAAATGATATAATGCATTAGTCATGTAGGGCTTAGTTGAACACTTTAATAGCTGGAAAACTAAGATGTCTTTTCTTCAGCAGGTCACACTGATTTTAGCTGCAGTTTCAAACTAGTCCTGCAGGCTCGTGCATATTTCTGTGAGTTTTGGTTCTACCATCTGAGAGTTATTTCCATTACCTGCTGGAACTGTAACCTTCTTTTACCTGGCATAACTCTGAGCCTTTAATCAGCAAGAGTATGTGGCAAAGATTTTTAAGATTTTTGCATTGTTTCTTTTGAGATGTCTATTGTGTGGTTTGCTGCAGGCTGTCATTTTTGTCTGCCATCCAATGTATGTTGGCAGGAGGGTTGTGTACTAGTCTTTGTGTCTGGTCACAGAAAAAAATTCATGCATCTCAGCCAGACCATTTTGTTATTCCTTTAGAATTAAAAGCATATGAAACAGATGCAGCTTAATAAGTATCTTTTTTTATAAATAACATTTAAATAACTTAAAACAATAAAGTTCAAATACAACTTAAAATAAAGTTTAATGCTGTAACAACAGAAAAAGCATGTATAAGGATGGAAAAATAATA